AAATTATGCTAGCACAATATATCAAGGCCTTATAGAGAGGAGAAGTCGTTACGTCACGTTGCTATGGTAGCAAAATTTTTGGATGACAACAAACCGATAGGTCACTTAAAAGTCTATTCGCACTATTTCAAACTTCACCCATCGTATTCAATTTCATTTGATTTGGCAAATGTTGGCGAAATTTTCTTTGCGAACGTATCTGTCGTTATCTAAGTTTAGAAACTGAGAAAGCGACATTTTCTGAATTGTGTTCACCTACTCCATAACGCGGGCTCGCGAAATTAGGACGTTTCAGGTCGTAGTGGTGCAACGACGGCAAAGAAATGTACAGAATAACGTGATGCACGTGCATAGTTGTTGTTTGTCAATATAAACATAGTACAGTGAAACCTGTATTAAGCGGACACCCTCGGGGAATGCTGTAGTGTCCGCTTAATACAGGGTGTCCGCCTAATACAGGTTTCGATAGAGAACGTCATATGAGGTGTCAAATGCCATTCAAATGAACAGTGGAAACGTTTAGATTACTCTTAGAGACTATGACCATATACGACGTTTGCAGTCTTTGCATTAATTTCTTTATTAAAGATGATAGTACCATAGACATAGATTGCAACTCAGATTTGAAGAACTCAGATGAATGAAACAAGCTCTATAGAAACAAAGGGACGTAGAAAACAACACTGTACTGTGAAACTAATCAAATAACATGAAATAAGTTCGCCAAGTCACGTTTTTTTTAAAATGTAAAAGTATTAAAATTTGTGGGTGGTAATCTTTCGCATTTCCGGTGTCTGGCGTGTTGGGTGGTGGAATTTAATTACAACTGTCCGTTTAATACAGGTTGGCAACAATAGAAATTACCATTTCAGGTACTTTTTAGGTGTCCGCGTCCGCTTAATAGAGGTGTCTGCTTAATAAAGGTTTCATTTCAAGTAGATAAGGGAAATAAATTTGGGGACTTCGGCTACTGTCCGCTTAATAGAGGGTATCCGCTTAATACGGTGTCCGCTTAATACAAGTTTCACTGTAGAATTTTTGCCGTGCTCCTTGCCGTTGCCGTCTTCGTTGGTTTTGTTGTCATCCAGAGATAGTGCTACCATGGTAACGTGACAGCACACTTCTCCTTTCTATTTGGTGTCTTTTTTGGTCCGGAAGCAATCTCTCGGGGGAAGCGGTGCTCTTATGTTAAAATGTGGAATAGTTACAAATTTTTAGTGGAAGGATACGAGGTATGGGATCTAAAAGGGTAAGGAGCGGGACCTCCCCTTAAACTTATGTTATCAAAACAAAAACAAAATTGAATGCAACGCTAGGCCGGCACTACGGCAAAGGGCGGATTTATTTTGTTATTTTAATAACAAAATAAAAAGTACACCCCTCTCCACCCGGGTCAATACAGTCGCCAGTCCTGTTCTTATACTCACTCTTACCCTACTTTATTAAAACCCCTCTCCTGTTTAAAACCTTCAAAATTGTAAAGCACTGAAAATTTTTTCGATTCTTGCAATTTACGCTACGTCATGGCCCCCTGGGGGCACTTTAGGAATTTCTGGGTGGGGACGTGCCGCTGGGAGCCTGGAACCCTTAACCTTTACCAGAGCTAGTTCAGCTGAATTTTGCTACCCTATACTAGAGTAAACTCCCGAAATCCCCCTATCCTAGAGGAGCTGTGTACCTAGTCTAGATAAAATCTTCAACCAACTGATCAGTTTCCTGAAAAATGATACCCTATACTAGAGTAAACTCCCCATATCCCCCTATCCTAGAGTAGCTGTGTTCCTAGTCTAGATAAAATCTTCAACCAACTGATCAGTTTCCTGAAAAATGATACCCTATTCTAGAGCCAAACGCTCTGATTTATATACCCTATCCTAGAGTAAACTGCTTGAAAACCATACCCTTCACAGCGGCACATACCTATATAGCCCATATATGGCAGTACCCCCCCCGGGTCATGGCGAAAATATCCAAGCGTCACAAGCGTCTGATCCCCGGTAAAAAGGCGCCAATTTCCGCTTCAGGGCCTTCATTCCCAGCACGAATGCTCACATGACATACGTTAGCCAATCACATCCTTTGTTGCAGCCGACCAAGATGGCGGATAGCTTGAAGCAATGCTTGTGCTCTGTTTTGAGTCGCAGGAAAATTAAAACCGAATAATTTGCGTTAGGTTCGTTGCAAATGCTTTTAAACTAATGCGTCCATTTAATTTTTCTGGAATCGACCCATTGGTGGAAATTATCAAAGCTTCGGAGAGGTGACAGTTAATTGAAAACGTCGTAGTTTGGAGCCATCGGAAGTTTGGTTGCATTCTTGAACGTAGGGGAATTTGCATTAGACCATTCCTGGACGGAATGAACGTTTAAATGGTTGTTCAACAACTTTTGGACGAGGTAAGCAGTGAATTTTATTTAAAACCATCCAGGAAATTTTCTTGATTGTCAATGTATTCTGTAGATAGTTCAGTTTCCGATCGATCTATGTAATTTGAAAGCTAGGCGAGAGGACAGAAGCTTATTTTTTGATACTTTCGTTACATGTAACAGCCTCCTCTTGTCCAAGCCTGCTTTCGTGGCGATGCAGCGGAGTTGCGAACATTAATAAACAGAAGGGAGGATGTTAACCTTCAGGTAAATAAAAAAACTTTTAATCTCAAACTTTGTAAGCTTATTTTTTCTACCTTATTCTGTTTAATTTTTGTTCGTGCTCCTGAAAAGAAATTTTTCGTGTTAAATCAAGCAATCTCTGGGAATATCTTATCAAATATTTACAAACCACAAGCAAGTTGCAATTAATTAAATGTTGTTATGTGCGGTTAATTTGGACTTACAAGGGTAAAAATTGTGGAGCTGAAATTTTGTTAGAGAGAGGTTGGAATAGCAGAAATGAAATAAGAAGTGGTACGACATACAGTTGTGTAGTCTCATTTTATAACATCAAGAAATTTTTTCAGCAGTGTTTAGAAGATAGAGTGTGGTGCATTTTCCTTATTTTTGAATTCTGAATATTATTGAACTTGTCGGTTTTACCACAGTTATGGGTGATAATAATAATGACTGTATCTGTTTGTATGCCTATTATCAATATAATTAATAATATTTAAATTTGCTAGGCACCGAAACAAAAGAACTCTTCCTTTTGAGAGCCAAAAAGTCTCTGGCTGGCTAATTAACATCAGTGGTTGATTATTTAAGTGTCTGACGGCAAAAGAAAAATGAGAGGAAAGAGAGGGATTTTTGCAGGCCTCTGCATTTTCTATCATGTATGAACTGGTGTTTCCCAAACAACCAGTAAAGTTTTAGTCATGTGCAAGACAACTTACAGAGCCTGTTTGCATGATAACTGTAGGCACCGAAATTCCCGGTGCACACTCTAAACAGGGCATGCGCATTCCACATTAAACAAAACTGGTTTTGAAAACCGGTAAGTTTCGGTTACAAAATAAAAATGTGGTCAGCAGTTATACAAAACAATGTCTCAGAGGACTGCAGAGGTCTCTCTTTTCCCTTTCCTTCTTGCTGTGAATGACCTACGCTAGCAGGGAACTGTTGTTCTGAAGATACTTCATGTAGGTTTCAGTGCCGATTGGTAGAATTTTTAATTACAAAGATCAGCTAACTGAAAAGTATCAGTAAATGGTAGTTTAGCTTCACAAAGTGTGACAATACACCACATGTACAATGGACATTTTTAATATATGGTGTACCATTTTGTTTAATTTTTCAGACTATGTACAAACTCAAACAACACAATAATGCAAACTATTGAAAAATGCCTGGTGGTGTTAGACAATAAAAAGCCACCTTAAGTTACAAACATACAAAATTTATGTACTCCACTACATTCATGTTTTGCAGGTACATTGTATCTTTTTGTGTATATAATTTATTGCTTTCCTGTGATAAACCACAGTCACATTTTCAAAGCGATTGGGTGATAAACCAATATTCAAAAGTAGCAGCTGTATAATCATGCTCCTACCAAAGGCGTGATAAACAAGGATAAACAAGTGGATTATATTTAAGACTGTATACAGCTAAGCCTTGACGTTGTGCTCTGTGATTGCGTAAACCGCAACTGTATGGAGATAACAGTGGTTGTGGAAAATGTTTATTACTTTTACGTAATTTGAGCAGACATATAAAATAGCCAACAAATTCATCAGGAATACACTCAAACTGAATAGTCTGTCATATAAGGTGCTTATCTTACACGTTTTCTTCCGCTAAATAATAATTATAAACTGTACCAATCCATAGATTGGCTGGTACATAAAAGCCATGTCATTGAGCATTATGATGCACCTATTTGACAGTTTTATAGTGTAAAATCCCTGAAAGAGTTCTCCTTGTGCATTAGAATGTCCTTATTGTATAGCAATAAGTAAACTGTTTCAAATGTTTTACACCGTTGAAGATCTGTGACCTGTCACTCCTTCCAGTTTTTCTGTTGGTTTTACTCTTGATGTGGTTGCTCAATGCTCATTCTCTTCTTGTGCTGTGAAATTAAACGATCTCCAGTTTGTTGTTCACCTGTCACACGTGGCACATATTCCTCTGAATTGCCTTATGTCTCTTCGCCAAAACCGGTGTTACTCCAGTTGACAATCAAAGCAAAGTGGTTCTTTTTGCACTCTATATCATCCAGGTGAATTAAAATATATTTTATTAAAGCAACCTACATGTATACACTCATTCTCAAGGCTGCATTTCGCAGCAACAAAAGCGTAGAAACATTTGTGATGGGAGCCTTACTTGACAGTTTAATTGGTGGAGGGCAGATCAGTGGCATCAAAGGCATGTCTCCAGGCTCTGCCACCCAGCTCTTTCCCATACTACCACTCCGATCTCCTTTTTCACCTTTTTCCCCTCTGCGGAGCCTGGTCTCAGGCTAACATTTATTAGAGAAATTTAGAGTCTAGTTTACAGCAAGTGATAATGATAACACAGTTATATGTGTAGTAATCATTAATTTGCTTCTATAATTTAGGATGAGGAAAAGAGAACTGCTTTACATGCAGCGGCACATTGTGGGGAAAGTGAGTGTGTCAGTATTCTTATTACTCATGGTAAGTGACAACATCATACATTGTGACATATGGTAAAAATAGGGCCAACCTGCACCTTTTCCAGAGAAGGTTTGTTATTGGCTGGGAAAACAATAGGGATGGTGACAACAATGTCCCTATCCCTAGAAACAATAGGTAGTGCAGGTGATAGGGACCAATGAAATAAGAGGTTTGGATGGGTGCAGGTCTATCATAAAAATACATTAGTGTGATCTCTATTTCCATGTAACATGGGAAGCCATAAAAATATAATTCAACAGGAATGTTTCTATAAATTTGTCAATAGTCAATAGATAAATAAACAACTTCTATGTCTTAGGTCTATGTGAGGGTGAAGAGTTGGGTTTCTTTTGGTACAAAGTCAGAGCTGGAGCTGTTAACAGAAACACAGAGTACATTGTATCGTGGCCTAGTGAAGTTGTACATTTGTATGCAGGGTTTCCAACTTTGGGATGGGATGGTGCTAAGAAACCTTAGTGCAAGAAGTTATTGAAATTATTTCAGGAAATGAAAGTGTTTTATTCACCAAGGTCTTGTACAGTAAACTCTGATAATACAATGTACATGACCCTGAGAAATTGCTTTGTACCAAACTCCCTGCTATGAGAAACAATAATTTTTTGGGCCCCAGTTACCATAACATCAGACCCCAATAGTGATGCCCTGTTGTCCTAAGTAATTATTGCATTTTATCACTCCTTTGCTATCTCTGTAAATAGAGCTCCTATTGTACCTTACACTTTTCTCTGCTTGCAGTATTGTAATGAGATAATTCTGACTAAATAGATAATTCATACATTGTATTTCAGGAGCCAGAGTGAACACAAAGGACAACAAGTGGATGACTCCTTTACATCGGGCATGTGCTTCTGGGAGTGTGGTAAGCTCAGTGTTAATTAGTCAAAATGGGTCATATGTTCCACATGGCATTTTAAATTGGGTCATTTCAGTAATGGTCTGGGTCAAACTATGATAATCTAAACTGTTGTTTCATAATGAAACAAATACAAAAGAACAAAACAAAAAAATGAAATGTGAATCGATCAGCAAAGCAACATATGCAGAAAGTCGAAATGTACATTCCAGTCTCTCCTGGAATTGCGTGGAACACCTGACCCAAAAACCTCTTTTACGCAGGTCGCCCGAAATGACAGTCATTTTGTGCTCTCATTTCGGGCTTGTAAGCTCACCTATTTTGCCAAATTTGCTTTTATTATTGCAACCTAGATTGAACACTGTAAGCTACATGGAAATTTGACATTAAGTGTCTTAAAGTGGTGTTGTTGTTATGGTTTGGCCATTTTTGTTTCAAAATGTTATTTTTAGTTGAAGTCACATGTAATACTCAGTGGTATTGCAATAAATTATTTTGTCACCATTTTTTAGGAGTGTGTGAAAGCTTTGGTAAAAAGTTCAGCTGATGTCAATGCAAGAGACAAAAACTGGCAAACCCCTCTTCATGTGGCAGCAGGCAACAATCATATCAGATGTGCTGGTATGTTCAAAATTGGACATTCTGAAACTATGTAATGTGAAAAAATAAATCTGTTATTTTGCTAAATTTCATAAGTTCAAGGCTGTGTAGGCCTCTGTTGGCTCTCAAAACTGTTATCTCAGCCACACACTGTACATCCTGTATGTTGAGAGTTGAACAATGAATTACAGTACAAACGTAAAAACAGTGTACCAAAGCTGGCTTATCTTGACTACAAAACTGTAAAAAAGTTCAGAGAGACCAACATTACTTTTACTAACTGTTTGACTTAAAAAGTTAAGTGGAAGACAGAGGTCAATTTAATAAAACTTTTACAAGTCTAATTTACAAGTGTGGCCATTGTTTTAGCATCTAAAAACAATAGCTACACTTGTAATAATTTTTTTAGATTGAAGCCAGGTTACAAATTCCTCATTATCTGTACATGTACATTTCTCTAGAAAGAGGGTTGGAGAACATTATTTGCAATACAGCAAGACATTCCTAGTGGGTTTAATGATTGTTTTCTGTGAATACTCTTAACCTCTGTAATTAACTCCACTTTTGCTCTACACCTCTGAAGCTTTGAAGGGTAATAGTTCAGTTAAGTTCATTAATTGCAAATGTAAATGATGTAATAAATCATGTTATTAAAAACTGAGTCATTGGATAATGCAATTCTAGAGTTCTGATTGGCTTAGCCATAATTTTATGGTATCTGAGCCATTATGCCTTGCTCTCCAAATATGGTAACTGTACGCATCTGTTCAAAATTAAAATCAAGCTGAAAATCGGTTGTTTTTACAAATAAAGTCGGGAATAATTCTTGATATTTTGTGGGCGTTTTTTATAAAACAATTATATTGCACTCGTACTGGTTGGATATGAGGTGATTATAGCCAACTCATATCCAACACATCTCGTTAGCTATCTACAATCTCATATCCAACACTCA